CAAGAAAGGACCACAAAGTTTCAGATGCTCCACCTAAGGATCCTTCCTAAGGGCTAGAAACCTGTTCTCCCATCTGCCCTTGTGCTCTGCCACCTTAACAGCAGTCCCAGTGATTGAGTCTCCATCTCGTGTAAAGGAACTGCCTAGATTGGCATTACCTCAGGACGCTGGTCCTCTTACATTTGCAGTCATCAGGCCTTCCTCTAGGGGCCAAGAACTAATAAATACGGTGTCATGAAAACCCCTGGGTAGCATCTGTTGCTGCCTTTGAACACAGTAAATCATGACAGACTGTAATAATTACCGGCCTATATTTCTGTTTTAGAAGCACAGGATGACAGGCCTACCTGGCCATAGGGATTGTAGGGGTCCTCCTGGATACAAAGTGGGGTTCTTTAGAAAAGCACCTTGAGTTGGCTCTCCCACTGGATAGCAGAAACCCTCATCTCTTGTGGCAGGTCTACAGGGATCACTGAACCACCACCAGCCATTTGGAGTCCTGGCACTTCTGCCACTTCCTCTTCTGGAAGGAAGTGCCAGGTGATCTACAACAAGCTTTGGGCACCTGCTGTTGCCACAGTAGAAGCATCCTTTTTTAGTTGTTTGTTCCAGGTGCTTGCTCACTTGTGACTCTTCTCTGTCACAAGTGTGCACGCAGCACCTTATGTATGCATTTGCAGGACTCGTAACAAATTGGAGGACACAGACTTGCACAGTTCAACTGGGGTTTTAAAAAAAATCATTTACTTATAAATTGTGTGTCTGTCCCATCTCTTCCCTGCTTTATCTCCCCAACTCTTTGAGACGGGGGTGGGCAAAGAGGGAGACAGAGTAGCTGCCCTAAGATCACCTGGTGAGACTCAGGGTTTAGATGAACCTAACTAGCTAGAGTTGCAGTCTGGAACTACAGTATTACATTGTGGTTTTCCTGTATAGCTGGATTAAGTGGCCACTTTCTGGGCAGTTGTGGCTCAGATCTGTCATCATTCCCAAAACCTTAGTTGTAACCAGTTACAAGCAGTGTTAATGATCTGTAACATTACTGGAGAGTAGGTGGGTGTTTTGCGACTAGAGTGTAGTGAACGTTCATTTCAAAAGTAACATAATGAGTGGAAGAGAAGTCACTTTATTGGTAGAACAAATAATAATTTCTGCTTATGTTTTAAGAACATAAGAGCCCTGCTGGATCAGGCCGAGGGCCCATCTAGTCCGGCTTCCTGTATCTCACAGTGGCCCCACCAGATGCCTCTGGGAACTCAAGAGACAACTAAATCCCTGTCTCCTGATATCCCCTCCCCTGCATCTGGAGGTACCTTCCTTCTAAATGTTTTAAAACATTTTAGGAGGAATTTTTAGCCAGTTTTATTACGTTCTTTTCCCAATCCTAACAAAAATGGTGAAAAAGCATGAAGCTGGTCACTTTAACACCGGAACGGATAACAATGGATTACTTTTTGAACACCATAACAACATGGCCTTTAAAAATGAACTTACCGCCAGGCTCTGTGTATTCCAGATCCACGGTCATTCTGTTAATGTTCTAGATGGAGGGGTTTCTTTCCAAGCAGGCATGTCTGCCTTGTCCTGGGGAACAGAACTGTGGGTCGCTCAGGGGAGTGCTTTCACCTTGCGCCCGTGGTGTGTGACCCTGTAAAGTCTCCTTGAAATACTCTGTGTCTTCAACATTCCAGAATCCTTTACTGCCCATTAAAGCAACAGCTTCTCCACCAATCACACCTAACCTGTAAAGGTCTGTGATACATATGACATTATCATCTTTCCACAAGGGTTACTACTACTGTCTTGACTTTCATCTTGTTGGGCAAAAACTCCGGTTACATCTCCTCTTTTAGAGGGTGCCGTTGGCTGTAAACCTTCACAGCGCTGTCTTAAGACCTGAGAGGCTCCTTCTCTGATGCAAGGCAGATTATTCTCATTGATTGTAGCCTTACTGCTTTTGGGCATTGATTTTAAAGTTTGCCACCTGGCTGAATCCCAGGAGACAGGAACAGGACCTTCAAAAGAAAGACTTGCTAAAGGTAAATAATAATCATAATAATTATCATAATATAATAATCTTAGAACTGCAGAGTTGGAAAGGACCCTGTGGGTCACTGAGTCCAGTCCCTATCAAGGAGGCACAGTGGGGGAACTGAACTCCCAACCCCGGCTTTGCAGTCAGAGACCAAAACCTACTGAGCTGTCCAACAAACAGTAGGAGGAGTGATCTGTCCAGGTATGACTTAATTGGGGAATAGGCAGGATGGAAACATCAAGTCAGTGCCAATGAATAATTTTTCCTTTTTGTTATTAGTATGGCAGACACAAGAGGAGGCAAAAATAAAAAATAAAAATCCTCCAGTTTTCCCTTTTTTTAGAGTCAGACAAATGTTGTAATTGGGACTTCAAAACTGGCAAGATAATTTGGGAGAAAAACTGGAATTTTGAGAGCACTCCATTTCAGTTAAGTTCCAGAGCTTGAGCTGTTCTTGATGCATCTTTGTTTTGAGAAAAATCCAGATGGAGTTGATGACACAAGCCAAGGCTCTGGAATTACACTTCAGCAGACTTTGTAGTCGCTAGAAGTAAGAACAAAGAGTTGGGCATGATCTTAAGCTCTTTGGTCTTTTCTCTGTTTCAATTCCTATGTTACTTAAACTACCCTTGCATACGTTTTAAAGTTTCATAAAGAAGTTTTAAAATGGTCAGATAAAAATGCATTTGTTTCCATTCTTCCTTTTTCTTAATTTCCTGTTTATTCAGTTTGTTCTTTCCTCTTCTTTTCCCTATTAAAAATCCTGCATTGATGAGTCATCTAGCCTAGTAAAGCTCATCCTTTGAACTTCCAGAAGTTCTCAATTTGAGTTCTGGGAAGCCCTGCCCTCAGTGGCCAATGGCAAGGGGTTCTGGAAGTCAAAATCTAAAACACTGGGGCAGAGGTTGAGAACCGCTGGTCTAGATTGCACGACTTCCACTACAACTCACAACACAGCCAGCCATACAGATGCAAAGGGTGCAGGAAGAACAAGATCACTGCATTACTAGATGTTCCCCATAAGGTCTGAATCACCCTGTGGTTATAGAGGAATAGGGGTTACTGGATGTCTGGAGAGTTGATCTTGCTTATATTTTTTTGCATTTGAAGTGCATCTTATGCTGGTTTTCAATATTTCTTTAATTATGTGATTTGATTCATATTCCTGCCTTTCCCACCAAACTGGAACCCAGGGGCCCCCACAAAATCCCTTAAATGAGAGATGCAAATAAAAACTAGTTTTTATCATTGCAATAATTTAATATTATTGTCATAATAAAATGCAGTTAAAGCAAATCATACCATTAAAATTCAACAGAATTCAAGAGTTGTAGAAGCATATAAATTAAAATAATAATTTAAAAGCACAGAACTCTGTTAGAAAACTGGTAAAGACAGAACTATTTAAAGCTGCCTTTAATAGTTGAATCTTCTGGATGCTATCCAATGTCTCTCTTTTTTATAATTCTAGGTTTTATAGGTCTGTTTATGATTTAATTACAGTCTATGTATCACCATACTGTTTATGTTTTGGGGTTTTCTTTTATTTTGTTTTTTATTATTGTGGGGTTTTGAAGATTTTAAGTTTTAATCTTGTAAACCTCCCAAAGTAGCGCTTGCAGTAATGGGATGGCATATGAATTGAATGAATGCGTGTTAAAAGCTTAATCCTTAAGAGCAAGCCAGTTGCTGAAAGCTTGCCTGAATATAAAGGCGTAAGATTGCCAGTGGAAGATGACCAGGGAGAGGGGCATCCTAGCTTCATGTGGAAGAGAGTTCCAGAGCCACAGAACAGTCTCTGAGAAAGCACTCTCACCTTCTCGCCATGTAGGCCTCTGATTTTGGTGGGACTAGATTCTAGCAGAGGTTGAGAGACTCTGTAACTGAAGAAAGCAACAGGGAAAAAAAGGCAAATGTGTCTGAATGCATAGGACCTATTAGACAGCTCACAGGATTCTTGCAAAAGTTGTAACATAGGTGGAGTGAAACTTAGCAAGTTGTGATTTTTTCAGTTTGATGAACCTTCACCTACTGTTGGACATTTGTTTGTTGATCTATTAGATATATCCTGCCTTTCAGTCAAAACATGGCATTTGAGGGAGCTAACAGTAAAATGCAAATAAAAACCATAAAAGCAGACTAAAAATACATCAATGAAGAGAAATACTGCACTTCAGCTGTGCCACAGCTTAGATGCCAACCATCTTTCAGACATTGACATGGCCATTTTCCTGCATGGCCATTGGCAAACGATAGAATGTCAGCCATCCTTTGGAGAGGTGTTTGTTTGCCCCATCCCCTGGTCTTCTGACTTTACCTGCTTGTGGTGCCGTTTGGGGCACTGGGCCAAAGAGATGGGATATGGGCCATAGAAGAGAACATTGGTTGTTCTAGAGGCGGAAGTAAACCAGTGGCCCTCCAGATTTAGTTGGACTGCAGCTCTCATTATTCTTGACTGGCTACTCTCATTATTCCTACTGGCTGGGCCTGAAAGGAACTTAAAGTCAAAGACCCATATTTTGCCTATGCATGGGTTAGGCAGACTCTGATCTGGGTTCTTAGGACTTGCGGCACATGAATATTAAAGCGGGTTCCTACATAAAACACCGATAAGTTATTAGAACCAAACCCTCTTCCGGTAAAGATTTTTTATATGGTGTTACTTGGGGGAAAAAAACCTGTGATAAGTTTTGGATGCGGGTTGGGGTTGAGCTCAGTTTCTGGATTCCCTTTCCCAAGAGTGTTTTGGTCAATGGCCTTTTGCCAAAGTTGCTCTTTTGGAGTACGACTTCCAGAATCTCCTAGCCACTATCCATGCTGGTTGGGGGATTAAGGGAGTTTTAGACCAAAACTGTAACCACCTGTTTCTAAAGACTGAGTCTGTGGCCTGTTCTTGAAAGGCCTTTTACGACTGAAGAGCCTACAAACTGACTGTCAACTGTTTCCCCGTTTTTTTTTCTCCTAGAGATGCCCTGTATCCAAACTCAATATGGGACCTTGCTTCAGAGCGCAGGACCCTGTGAGCGCTACCCAGCAGACCTCTTGACCCCTGAGCTTGGCAAACCCACCATGGACCTAGTGAATACAGAGATCACAGCCACTGCCACCTCTCTGCCCAGCTTCAGCACCTTCATGGACAATTACACAGGTGAATTTGACGCTTTCCTCTACCAGATCCCAGCGGCCAACCCCACCACCACGTCCTTCAAGCTGGAGGATTTCCAAGTGTACGGCTGTTACCCCGGCCCTTTCAGCAGCCAACTGGATGAGACCATGTCTTCAAGCGGCTCTGACTATTACGGCAGCCCGTGCTCGGTCCCTTCTCCTTCCACGCCAAGCTTCCAGACTTCCCAGGGGCCCTGTTGGGAGAACTCCTTTGGGGCCTATTCCCCCACTCACACTTACGACAGCATGAGGCCCTGGGTGCCAACAGCAGCAGCAACAACAACAACGGAGCCACCCAAAAGCAGTTCTGCCCAACCTTCCTATTTCTCCTTTGGCCCCTCAGCGCACAGTCCTGGGCTCCCCCCACAGAGCCCCCTGAAGATGCAGCCGCCAGGCCAGCAACACTTGGTGGACGGAGATGTCTTCTCGCTCCCACAGACCTCCCCAGCCATGAGTTTTTCCCCCTTGCCACTCAGCCAGGCCTCGCCGGTCCTGGACGGCTCCGGCTTGATGGACAGTTCCCTTTCTCCAAGCAAAGCACGGAGCCCCGGGTCCAACGAGGGGCGGTGTGCGGTGTGCGGGGACAACGCATCATGCCAGCATTATGGTGTCCGGACCTGTGAAGGCTGCAAGGGTTTCTTCAAGGTAAGGGTCACGGGGACGTTTTCCACCTTGAGGCCCAGGATTTCTATTTCCCAGGGCTGGGTGCCATAGAAGAGAACAAACGCCCAACTTCTGTGCCCTGGTGCTTCAGCCAGCGCAGAGGATGCTGGGACCCCAAGGCCTCCCTTTGTAAGGGATTGGCGGTGGGGATAGAGACGCTTTGTTGTTGACGGCCACAAGGATGAGTCATCAGACCTTAGCCTGGCCTCTCTCTGAAGAAAGGCGGTCTTTGTAAAAAAATAAAATAAAATAAAACCTTCCCTTCACAGGAGTAGGTGGCAGGGAAATGTTGGGATTTTAAGCACATTCTATATACTGCATTATATCATTGATCAAGGGTAGATGTGGAAAAGGTAGAAGATGAATAACATCAGAAACCGGTAGAAGATGAATAACATCAGAACAACTAATCCACACAGTGAGAGATAGATGGAGACATGCCTGTAATGGCAGCCAACCTCAGCAACTGAGATGGCAGCCAAAGGGGGGGGGGTGTCTTATCAAGCTGTCTGTCTTTCACAAAGGCCAAGACTTAATACTGTACATTCATCTCATCTGCAAGCTCCCGGGAGGTGTACCTTCAGCAACCAGAAACTGGTTGTTTCTGCAGGCATAAAATTTATTCTTAAGTAAATGGAAATGTATTTCAAAAACGTAGGAGCTGGGTGGGTGTTTCCTTGTGGTTGACCAACAAAAGAACCTTGCCCAAAAGTCGTCTTCAAAGCATGTTGCCTTGTAAGAGAACCAGTGTGGCGCAATGATATTTGTGTTGGAATTTGGACTTGGAAGGCTGAGGTTCAAGTCCCCACTTGGTCACAGTTGCTCACTGTGACACTGGGCCAGTCCCATTCTGTCAGCTGGGCCCACTTCACAGGGCTTTTGTGAGGACAAAGTGGGAGAGAAGGAAAGCCATATATTCTGCCTTGAATTCACCAGAGGAAAGAGGAGACATACAGTAAATGTTGTGAATAAATATACTGTATACTAGTGGTTGGAGCTTCCACTCCAAGCTAGGAATAGAAACCTGGAAAGGCCACAAACAAGGATGTATGCAGAACAACAGCCGGTGTGATGCTGGAAGTCACTGAAACACAACAAGGCGTACAGCAGGCCTGAAACCTTGAATGTTGCCTAGTTAGGTCCCTGCTTAGCAAGTAGTAAGGATGTACTCAAAGAGACTGCAATAAAATGGTGCCGTGGGAAAGAGTGTTTCTATTAAGGGTTCAAAATAGCTGTGTGCTTTCCAAGGATGTTCTGTTCCTATCCTCTCTACCTCTCCTCTAAGTTCTAGTTTTCTATTTTTTCCCCCACGAGTTAGTCAGTGTTCACTGAACATGCCTGTGGACCTGTCTTGAAGTCATTCTTTACCCCTCAAGATTTTTTATTTATTGTAAACTTTAGGGTCTCCCCCATGTCTGCTGATCTTGAGTATGGGTTGTAGACTGCCTAAGGACCAGCATTCAAAGAATGAATTCAGTATTTGTAAATAGGATCAAGTATTGTATGGCTCACATGCTTGTCCTTACTTCTACAAATAAAAAACCAGAGACAGCTTTTAGTTCCCTTTTAAAATAATGGCATCTAAAAAAAATCCAAGGAGAAGTCTGCAAGATATTCTTTAGGAAACACAGACTATTGGGGGCTTCCTGACCACGGTATAGAACTCACCCCCGGTCTCTGTCTCTTGTGGGGGAGGGGGCATAGGGTGACCCTGGAGCCACATGTAACCCTCCACAACTATCACGGTGGCCCCTTCTTTTTCTAAGGAGGTGAACTACAGGTCCTTGAAGCCTCTCGGAATTCACCTCTCGTATAAACAGCTTCCAGCCCTATTCAACGCTCTCAATACCAATTTTTCAAAATAGAGAATGAATGTCTAGCCACTTCTTATTACATCTGGAGGGCTTTTGCGCAGTTTTCTTGGCTTGCGTGGTCTGTGGAGGAATTTCTCACCTTTCCTGTCTTGGAAGAAGACTAGAATTATAAGATTGGGTTCTCAGTAGTACGCTATGTCAGTCTAGTAGCAGAGCACATCCTGTGTGCTTACTAGGCCAGGCATCTGCAAGTCAGTTTTCCTGGACAAGTGGTTTTGGCAAGAAGGTCGGCATGTCCCTGTCCCAGAGGTCTCGCTTGCACTGTGATTTGCAGAAAATAAGGAGCAACGGGCCTCCACTGCATATCAAAGAGCAGTAGTCAATGTTGAAGAGTGGGTGCCCATCCCAACAGTTGCAGTAGCCAGCACCACTCTATATAGTCTAAAAAAGGCAGGCAGCTGGATTGGCTCATGTCAACAGATGAGGAACAGATTTCTTGTGAAGTTAATGGCTTTTAATTCTCATTCACGACCAAACCACCTTCACATTGTGACATGGGCAGCTTGCAATAGAGATGCTCTATTCATTTGCACACTTTGACTCCCAGAATTCTCCAAGAACTCCCCAGACAGGCCTATAGACACCTAAAGGTGCACCTGCATTTTGCTCACGTGGACTGTGGTCTAGTCTGAGGTTGCCTGGCTCAGCTCTATCCTTCCTTCCTGAGTACAAAAAAGAAAATACCATGGTGCCTTCCTGGGAGTCATAGTTTTGCTGCCCTTTTGGTTCTGTAGAGATTAACTCTCAAAGAACTATGACTCTTGGGTAGCCCCACAGCGTTAAAAATAAGAGGCAAGGCCAGAGTTAGGCCATGCAGCCTCAGAGGTAGACCCTGGTCCAGGTGAATAAAATGTAGGTGATTATAGAGGTCTGTAGGCTGGAACTCCCAGAATTTTGCCTGAGGAATTGTGGGAGTTGGAGTTTTAAAGAAGACTGGCATGTATTTAGCTTGAAACAATACAGGCATACCTCGGTTTACGAATTTAACGCGTTCTCTGGGACGTTACATAATGTGAAAAATTGGTATACCGAAACGTGGTTTGCCATAGGAATGCGGGTGGCGCTATAAACCTACAGGCACAATGCATCTTAGGGAAACTTGCTTCATACTGTGGAAAAAATCATAAACCAAGACATTATTTTCAATGGATTTCTGTTCATAAACTGAAAATTACGTTAACCGTGGCATTCCTAAACCACTAAACCACTATATATAGTTCCTGGGAAAATCCATTTCAATCCCAGCTACTCTGATGTTTGCAGTCAACAGGGAAGCATGAAGAGGAAATGATAGTTGATGTAATAGTCCCTGCTACTCAAAAAGTTCGGAGGCATCAACCCTGCTAGTCCTGGCTCCACTACACCATTAGAGAAGAGAGTTGTCATAAATCCTTTCCTTGTGTCTCCAGCGGCGATCCTGCAAATTCTGCTAGAGGCTCCTTAAAGCTCACTTCCAAAATCAAGCAAATGGCCCTTAGCTTACTACTGTAATTTATTTGTGCAAGGTTATCATCAGTGTTGTTTTGTGCATATTTACTGTAATGACTTTATATTGCCCACGTACACAGCCTGCTTTAGCTTTAACAACAAAAAAAGTGTTATGGCTCCTTGAAACCTGATATACTGATTGTGGCATAAGCTTATATCAACAAGGGATCTCTTCATCAAAACATCTTCCCAGACATTTATATTATGATATGTGTATTAATATGCTGGGGGTAGGGCAGAACTCTTCATTTTTATTTTTATTTTTAGCTTTAACAGACTTAATACAGTTACCCATCTGAAGTCACGCTTTTAATATTATTGCTACATCCTATTGCATTCTTTGCACTTAATTTCCCTCTAACCTCGTGGCTTACAGTTTCCTGGAGTCATGGAGGCCTGGAGTCATGAAAGAGTGGTAGTGTTTAAAGTTTCTCAAGAGGCTTTGCTGGGGCAGACATAACACAGGATTTTTCTCTGAAAATCCAGAACCTCCATAACTTGAGGTCCCTGGGGAGAAGGGAGGGCCAATTCACGCTGACAGCATTTAACTGGAAAAACCTTGCACTCAGGGGCAAATGGTGCACTTCACATAATGTGGAGTTGGGTCTAGTGAGTTATGACCAAAGTGGAATGGTGGAGATCTGCCTGTGTTGACTCTGGTGTGGTTGTGGAGCAGTCATGTGGTTTTTCATTCAGATACATCGCTATTGTAAAACAACCCAACACATTGCCTAGTTAACTCAATCTACAGCATATAAATACAAGATGAGCTGTGACTTGGGTATGTGGCACATAAGTACCAGAATGTCTACCTGCAGCCACACAGTTTGCTTCCTGAGTATGCCCATCTGGTCCTGTGATATCAGCACAGGAGGTGAATGGACACAGTGGCTACAGACCTATTTAGCTTGCACTTCCCAAAACTATGTACACTAGCATGCATTTATCATCCTTTATGTGTAGTTCTGTGAATTTAGTTGTTTGCTTTTATCAGAAACTATGTGTACAAACAGGGAAAGTGGATATAATTTCAATAGTGAATATCTACATATGCACATATACACACACTATTAGGGTAGCACTAGATAGCTTAGTAACTTAAGTATCTGTCTGTGGAGCCGGAGATTGAGAGTGCCGTTCTCCACTGTGCCTCCCAAGAGAAGTGCCAACCTGTGTAGCCTTGGGCAAGCTGCACAGTCCCAAGATACTCCCAGAAGAAGGGAATGGCAACACACTTCTAAGCATTCTGTACCTAGAAAACCTTCAAAAGGGTTGCCATTGGTCAGAATCAACATGATAGTGTGTAATTATTATTGCATTATTAGGGGAATTTACTTACTGAAAATGCTTACATTAACCAAATTGCATACCTGTTACTATATGTTGCATACATGTCAAGAAGAGTCAGACACAACGACTAAACAACAACAACTGTGTGTTGTGTGCCACTGCATTGATTTGAACATGGTGCCTTGGTAGGGTTCCCAAAGTATGTGAGGTATTAAATAAGTGCTTTAACTAGGGCCATTCCCCTACCTCACCCCATAAGCTTCCATAGCTGATTTGAACCCAGCTTTGCTGAGTCCTTGTCTGACACTCTATCCCATGCCCCTACGCTGTCTCTCTACAATTCTCTAGCTGTTGCAAAATTGGGATGGAATTGAGTTAATATTGGACTTTTCGGACTATACTTTCCCGAGCCAGCCTGGCCATGACAACTGGGACTTGTATTGCAAACAAGTCACTTCCAAGTTTTGATTAGCCATGCATATTACCCCGGTCTTATGCCATGTGACTGGAAAGAGCAACATGTGTTGAAATGAGGCAATTGTACATGTCAGGAAGAGATGCTTCGGTTTCTCTGTCACACTTGTCCTATGCCATTTCCGTCTCTCATCACCACATTTCTCCGGTGTTACAGTAATATTACCCACATGCCAAAATGTGCCAGCACAGCTGCGCCTGGAAGGTGCACCCACGTGGATCGTGAGATTGTTGTCGTTCCCCTGGGGATGGCGCCCTTATGATGTGAGAGACCACAAGGTTGAAGGAACATTGTGGTACATAAATTAATGGGAGATAGACCCTTGTCTTTCAGTTGCCAAGGCTGCCGTCCATTCTTATACAGCAGAGTGTCATGGTTTCCCCTCCCTTCTTTTATTCTCCTTTTAGCGCACGGTACAGAAAAACGCCAAATACATCTGTCTAGCCAACAAAGACTGCCCTGTGGACAAGCGGAGGAGGAATCGGTGCCAGTTCTGTCGTTTCCAGAAGTGCCTTGCAGTGGGAATGGTCAAAGAAGGTGAGGCCTGTGCCCCCACAATAGCTTATCCAGAATTAGATCTTCTCCTCTTGGCCATGCTAGGCAGCGGTCAAGTCAGGGGGTGGACAATAGGTTGTATAAAGAAAGGAAGTTAGGGAAGGAAGGAAGGTGACATTCCCCCCTCGAGCTAACATTTATTACCTGATCTATCCAGGTTCAGTACTGAGTCACAGATGCTATTTAAATTTAAATCTTTTAAAATATAAATCTTTTTCTGCAGCCATAAACATTTATTTAAAACAGAAAAAGGTAATACACAGTTCAGGGATGAATTGCCAATATGGCCAAGTCATCAGCTGTATTGGCAGTTAGGCTGATTGTACTGATTGCTGAGCCAAACAAGTTATGCACCCTTTGCTGCACAGTGGGATGAGGATCAGGCTAATCACAGTTAATTGCATAGTTGCTATTCCCTTTTTCCAGCGGATGAGTTCTTTTCAGAGCTTGGAAAGGTTACTTTTTTTGGGGGGGGAGACTATCCCCCCCAATTTTCTCACATGCAGTTCAAAAAGTAACTTTCTCCAGCTTTGTTTCGCCTACATCATTTTGGGATGGAGGAGTGTTGGTGTTGGTAGGAAACTGGTATGTTTATACTGTAGTTCCATCGAGTAAGCAATGAGAGGAGAGGCACAGCGAGAGGGGCTCTGATCTATGTGTGGCTTCCTCCAGTGTCTCCCTTCAGGGAAGGCCTGCCAGGGGAGTGGGAGGGAGGGAGGGAGAAGGGCAGCTCTTAATCTTTCCCATCATTTTCTGTGAGAGCCAAACTCCCAAGATTGCATTCCACATTTCCAAACCACAGCATGCCAGTGCCTAATCCCCCATCATCCTACTTTCTTTGTGAAACATGTCAGCATGTGGTCCTGACTCCAGCGCCTGGTGCGCGTTGGCTTGGATTCAAATCTTGTTCCTTAATTCAAAAAGGCCTCAACTACACACGCTTCTCCTGTCAGTAGCTTTTGCTTCTCGGACATTTTCTTCTCACCTCTCGGTCTGTTTTCTCTCCCTCTCTTCTCTTGCAGTGGTGCGGACAGACAGCTTGAAAGGCCGGCGTGGTCGGCTGCCCTCCAAACCCAAACAAGCTCAGGATGCTTCTCCGGTCAGCCTCATCTCCTCCCTCGTGAGAGCACACATAGATTCCATCCCCAGTGCTACCAAGCTGGACTATTCCAAGGTATTAATTCTGCCTTCTGGGATCATGACGCGCTAGCGACCAGTGTTGTTGTTGGAGGAAAACATATTAAATCGATGGATAGCAAAGAACGTTGTATGAGTTGGACCCACCCTCTTTTTAGGGTGCAACAGATAGTGTGGGGCCCTCATCTTTACAGTGCCTTGCTGTAGGTGACCACAAAGCGCCCAGGGAGTGACCCAAATGATAGCAAAATACCTTCCCACCCTCACTGGTCCTCCATCAAAGCATTCTGTGTACTTTTAATAGGCATGTGGCAGAAGGCGGTTCAGCAGCTGGATAGGGCTGATGGACATTGTTGTCCAAAATATAGGAGGGGCACCACACATGCCTGGTCCTAGACCAGAGAATGTGCTTCACAATGGTGCTGACTCTTAATACTGAACTCGCCGGTGCTGGGTGTGGTTTAATACACAGCTCTACTCAGCAGCTTGCATAGCAAAGTGGCAGCTGAGCCTGCAGGCCTTGATTTATAAAATATAACTGGGGCTTTCAAATTTGGGTCTTGAGTATATTGCTGTTAATATCCCTTATATAAAATGAGTGGGCTAAACTGCAGAAGCCTGTGCTGCAGGGTCAGAAGACCAGCAGTCGTAAGATCGAATCCCCACGACGGAGTGAGCTCCCATCACTTTGTCCCAGCTCCTCGCCAACCTAGCAATTCGAAAGCATGTAAATGCGAGGAGATAAATAGGTACCACCTCGGTGGGAAGGTAAAACGGCGTTCCCTAGTCACGCTGGCCACGTGACAACGGAAACTGTCTTTGGACAGGCGCTGGCTCTACGGCTTGAAAAGCGGGATGAGTGCTGCCCCCTAAAGTCGGACACGACTGGACTGAAAATGTCAAGGGGAACCTTTACCTTTAATAAGGAAGGCACCATTGTACTAGTGTCTGTACTTCTGTGTGTCTTCTGAAAAAAGAAAAGGGAGGTGGAAGGGAAGTGCTGGTTCTGTCTCTTCTTTTAACGTCATGTTCATGTTTGTGCTGGCAGTTCCAGGAGTCCGTCTCGTACCAATTTGAGAAGGAGGACTGTGTGGACGTGCAGCAGTTCTACGACCTGCTGACAGGCTCCATGGATGTGATCCGGAAATGGGCAGAAAAGATCCAAGGCTTCCTAGAACTTCCAAAAGAGGATCAAGACCTTCTTCTGGAATCTGCTTTTCTGGAGCTCTTCATTCTCCGGCTAGCATACAGGTAAGATGATACAAGTCTACAAGTATGACTTTGACAAACAATTCTCTTTTTTTGCCCCTAAGTGGGGCACGGGATTGTAGCCCTCCGGATGTTTTTGACCTACGACTTCCAGCAATATACAGTCAGTGTACCCATCAGCGAGCCATTATGGAAGTTACAGTCCAGCAGCCGCTGGATGACTGTAGTGGCCCACCCCTAGCCTAAATATTGGCTCACACTTGGTATGTGCATGTCTCTTATCTAGATGGATGGGTGGTGGAAAGAAGCCACAGACTTAGAACTGAGAATTTGCAGACGTGCAGGTGATCAAGGATTACAGCTTCCATCATCTCTGACTGTTGGCCAGGCTAGCTGGGGGCTGATGGAAGTTGGGAATAGCTATCTGGAGGGCTATGTATCCTCCCCCAGATTATAAGCCAAAATGATAGGTGCAGCCTCATTCCCTAGAGTCCTGTACACGTCTTGACACTGGAAAAGACAGCAAGAAAAATGGAATCCATTACACCAGGACTGAGTAACCCTCCAGATGTTGCAATATTCCATTTCTCACTGGCTGTAGCCAGCCTGGCCAAGTGCTTTGGCATGACAGGAGTAGGAGTAGCATCAACTTCTGGAGGGCCAAAGGTTCCCCAGCCCTGCTTTATACAGATCCCGGGCTTTGCCCTGCTGCATACAAATTTTGCGTTCATGGTTTGAGGGAGCACCACAGACCTGGCCTGCATTCATATGCTTCAAGTCATTCTCTTGGCTACTTGATGCTCTCATGTCAAGTGTGTTCCTCCCAGCCGTGGACATCAAGGGGCTCTAGTGAGCTGTGGTGGGAAAGGAGGTGCAGAAAGGTGGATCTCTTGCCTTAGGCCACACTCTCGGCTAATGTCCCTTTCAGTGGCTGCAGGCGATCCTGAAAACAAGTCAGGAGAGCAGAAGGGAAGCCGACTAATAAGGGGGGGTCACAGCTTTCTTCAGACAAGACTTTGCTGCCCAAAGAGCAATGCCAGTCTTCTCTTCCTCCCCCCACACCCCCAGCTTATCACCCTCCTTCCTGCCATCGTCTCTTTTTAATAGCCTTTATTTAGTATATGTTTTAGGGATGGGTTCCTGACAAGTTTCCTATCAGGGGTCACCCTTAGCCATTCTTCTCTGACACTGCTGTGCCATCGTCTCTTTCAGGTCCAAGCCAGAAGAAGGCAAACTGGTCTTCTGCAACGGGGTGGTGCTGCATCGTATGCAGTGCGTCCGAGGCTTTGGGGAATGGATCGACTCCATCATTGAGTTCTCCCAGAACCTCCACCGCATGAACATTGATGTGCCCTCTTTCTCCTGCCTTGCAGCACTTGTCATAATCACAGGTAGGTGGTCACTGGGGCTTCAGGGTTGATTTGGATGCTCAAGCGTACAACGCAGGATGAGAGGCCAGAGTCTAGGAGGTTTGACAGCTAACAATGTTTGTCAGAATGTGGCAAATTTCTGAGAGTACAGCACCATCTCAGGTTATAATCGGGAGTTGTAGTAATCATTTTTAGATTTACTTTTTAAATTTAGGCATATATACCATATGTATATGCATTTATTATCTTGATTTTGATATATTGATATCATATCTTCATAAATTCTATATTCATTTTGCTATGGTCATGCTGGCCACGTGGCAACGGAAACTGTCTTTGGACAAGTGCTGGCTCTATGGCTTGAAAACAGGATGAGCACCGCCCCCTAAAGTCAGACACGACTGGACTGAAAATGTCAAGGGGAACCTTTACCTTTACCTATGGCTAATGCAATAAAAAAAAAAAACAGGAGCTGTTGGATTGATGGTACCTCCAGACTTCTAGAAAAAATATGCTTAAATTACTATTGCGTCTATAACAATTCTAGGTGCTTTCAGAGAAAAGGTACTAGTGGGGGCTAAACAACAGCCTTGAATTGGTAAATAGCATTTGGTTTACCATTCTGCAAAATAGCTTAGAGCAGAGATGATGAGCTTGTGGCCATCCAGATGTTGTTGGACTACAGTCCCCAACATCCCTGATCACTGGCCAAGTGAGCTGGGCCTCTTGATAGCTGGGATCCACTAACAGCTGGAGACCCACGGATAATCCACCCCCGGCCTTGAGCACCTTTGTTAGTACAGACTTGCTGCATAGGAACAAGACTCCAGGGTGCTTGTGTAGTATTTGATTTTCATGTTTAAACATAAGCCAAGCTTGCTGTCACCAAGAGAATAATTTGCTCCATTCATGTATATGTGGGCCTTGACTGTTCTGTGGCAACGCCTTACAGCTGAGTACTATCTTAAAGATCACTGGGAGCTCTGTATCAAATCCTGGGGATCCCAATACGTCTTCCAGTGTTAGGATAAGTGCTTTTTTTGCTTTTTTTCTTTCATGGCATCTTCCATATTAATGTTTCTCTCTTCTTTCCTCTCCTTACTGCCCTTCTTCCTGATCTCCACCTTAGACCGCCATGGACTGAAGGAGCCAAAGAAGGTTGAAGACCTCCAGAACCGCATTGTCAGTTGCCTTAAAGACCACGTGACTTCCACCACCAATGAGCAGGTGCATCCAAGCTGCCTGTCCAAGTTGCTCGGCAAGCTCCCTGAACTACGCACTCTGTCCACTCAAGGCCTACAGCGCATCTTCTACCCAAAGCTGGAGGACCTGGTGCCCCCGCCTCCCATTGTGGACAAAATATTCATGGACACCTTGCCTTTCTGAGGAACTAAATACAGGGAAGCTGCCATGGAACCTATGGTGCTTTCTTCCAAGAGGGCATCGGTTGGTTGGTTGGTTGGTTGGTTTTTCCACCTTCACTGTCCCCAAGATGGGGAGAAAATGGTGGAGGGAATTCCCCTGATGACCCTCCATCCGGAGGGGAGATTTCAGGAACATTTCCAGAGACAAGGATGGGGTAACTTTCAGTCCAGTGTTTGGATGCGGAAGACTACTAGCACCATACACTCCTCCTCTTTCCCCCCGTGCTGAAGCTTAGAGATTACTGGGACATTGAGAATCACCATGTAATTCTCTCTGAACTTGCGGTAATGTCTTGGATTTTTTTTTAAAAAAAAACCTTGTGGGGGAAATCCCAGTGTGCCTTCTAGGGTTACATGCACAATTATCCCTAAATAATGCTGCCTTTCCTACGACCTGCCAACGACTCTGCGTGCCACCCGGCACCTAGAATTCCATACAGTTGCACAGATCAGCTTTCCATAATATGTGTGGAAGATGTTGGCTTTTCTGTTTTTGTTTGTTTTTATATGGTCAAAGGCCAATTAGGGACTTGGGATAAAAAAGAAAGAAAGAAAGAGAGTTGCCTTCTCTTATTTATCCACATCGTCATCGGGCCCTGGATCAGCCACAGCGGTGAGGATGTTCCCAGGTATGGGACCTGGTCCTTCCCGACTCCCTTTGCAACAAAGCGTCCTGCATCCCACAACGGGGACATGGGAGTCGGGGCAGTTCTGCCGTAAATAAGCACGCATCCTTTGGACAGCTTGCTTCCGCCTGCTGCTTTGTCAGTGGCAGTCTAGTTTTGTTGGGTGTGTGTGTGTGTGTCGTTTTTGTTTTGTTTTGTAAAAGTTGTACATAAAAAGAACAGCATGTTGGCTTTGTAAATAGGGATGAAGGAATGGCAGTGGGGGAGGAGAGGGGGAGCTCTTTTGTTTGAGCTATTGATGGTTGCGCATCGCCCGATACCTGCAGGAAACCTTCTGCCTTTCTGTGTACAGACACTTTGTATTGTAAAGTCCACCAATTTTTTTGACATTTATATTTGTCTATCCCTGCTTTCCAATTTCCAGTATGTGACTTTTTCCAATTATTAATATATATTTAATATATTGAATTAAAAAATTACCCTGATTAGATGTAACTTTAATCCTATGTGTTTGTGTCTTTATTCATGTCCATATGCAAGTGACACATATATTGTTTGAAACGGGAGCTCTCTTTCTAGGGAAAAGGGGCAAACCTCTTCCTGTGTTTTCTAGCCAAGGTTATGCTGGTTAAGAGGTACTATATTTTGGGGGTAGGGGGTGGCTAAAGCTGGAAACTTTGCTTTCCACAATGTGTCCTCGCTTCTGTTGCACATTGTCATATTGCAGGTGAGGTTTTCAAGATAGGGATCTGTTTTACGTTAAGCCATCAGGCTGATCTCTCTCAGTGTGTCCCCAGGATTTCAGAGTGGAGTCATACCAAGCTTTACCTGGAGAGCCTGGGAACTGAACCGGGAATCTTTTGACGGTTAAGGGTATGCTTTGCCATCTGACCCAAATCCTGTGTCGGGTGGGATGACAGTTCATGCTGAAGGCAGCCAGCTTTCCCTTTCCCCCCTTCCAACTGTAGCCTGACATGGTTTGCAATGTTAAAGCCATTTAGCATCCCCTCACAAAAAGCGTGATTGAGGTTGAGGGGCGTGACAGAGATGTTTACACTTATGTAGGAAGTGAAGATGATGCTTAGAGCGAAACATTGCTTCTCCCATAATGTTTAGTGTCATTCATGGAAACTGGATGGAGGATAAGTCAGGAAAAAGAGAAGTATTTCGTTCATGTAAGGCAGAGATGTCCACTTCCACATGACTGAAGGCCAATGCATGTGGTTGGAAAGGGTCAGAGCAATTTGTGGGGAACAAGGCTATTGGTTGCTACTGTGACCTCTACAACCTCCATTATCAGAGGCAGGGCACCTCTCAACAGGTTTTGTTGGGAAACAGCGAGCAGGAGTTTCTTCACGTCCTCTTTGTGGGCTTCCCAGAGGCGTCTGCTTGGCCTTCCCTGCAGAAAACAAAATGCTGGGCTGGAGAGTCCTTTTGTTTGAACCAGCAGGACTTTTACCTTCCACCTAAGTGGCAAAGCATAATGGCATAAATTAAAACCCTTTCTTCACATTCTTTAGTAAGCTCATGGTGCCCAGATTTGGCAACATAACAGATGGTGACAAGCCTTTCCAAGTTTTGCTTTAGGAGACAACTTTGAGGAACACTTCTTTAAAA